TCGAACGTTTGTTTTGAATTTTCCTGATCGTGCTACGTTACACCAGATCTTGAAATTTGATTGGCTGTGAAATTTTTAAGGTGGTGATTTTACCCCAGTTTGCGGATCCTGTGCGTGCCCATCTCTACGTATATAATTATAATATCACCTAATTTTTAATAATCACTGTGTTTAACTGGAGATTTCACCTATATAAAAATTACATGAAACTAAAATTTACATAAAAATACAAGATTGTAATACAATTCTAGTTATAAGAAATGTTGTATAATAAAATTTGCCCAGAAAATTATAATAATTATTATTATTAGAGTGTAAAGATGATTTCTTGGGCAAAATTTCGAGTTACCGGTACAAAGATTGCACCTGATTTTGCGATCTTCGTAGAAAATCCATTTTGCAAAATAAGTATCATACTCTATGGAAATTTTCATATTGATTTTACTAATGGTAATATATCACCATAGCTTCTAATATTAACGTCATAGCCCTAAATTTTTATCTTTAACACTTAATTTATATACAAAATACCGATTTTCACGCAGGATGTAATTTCGAATTTTAGATAACATTAGAGCGCGAAAATAAATTTCGTTTTTAATAAAAAATTAAAACGTGGTACATATTGTACAATTGCATATGAATTGTGATATAGTTATTTCTCCATATTTTATTTAAAAAGCTTTCAAAAAAAACTTTATTTTATGGATAACCAGAATTTCAACCGATTGTCTACTTTGTCATTTCATCAATTTGAGTTTTGAAATTTTCACGTTCTTCACGCAATTTTCGTAAATCCCAAAACAAACATTTGACAAGTGCAAATTAAACTACATTTGCCGCTCCTTATGTCAGATGACTTATCATAGATGTCCAATTTTTGAGGGTGTACTAGCAGTTGGACGAAGCCAATCCTTATAATTTTCCTGAAGTGGCGTAGTACAAGATCTCTCGCCTAACACATTTACAGCAATATTCTAAAAACCAAGTTAGCTGAAACGGAGTATAATTTAAATCCGAAGATCTTAAAAAAAAAATACTAACCCGGACACTCATTAGAATTTGATAAAGGGTCATAATTTGACCCAAATTCCTAGCAGTTTTCGGAATTATACACGATGCTACCTCAACCAAAAGGTAAATTCCAGGGGAATACAATTCCATGATACACACCGACATTTTAAAGCCATTGATAAAGATTATGACCCGTTTTGCTCCGTCTGGGTGTATTTCAATTCTTGTTTAGTAATGTCAGTGTCAATTGCATCTTTAGCATGTATCGCGCCACGATAAATGTCCCAGAAAACTTTAGATTCCTCATCTTGGCGCTTTGGACTAGTCACTTCGCCAAATACAGCTGTACGAGTTCCACTTTTATTATTCAATTGGTAATCGGGTACTCGGCCATGGCAACCTCGGCGTATTTTAGACGCATTAGACTCCACATCAATCCTAAAAATAATTAATATGAATTGATTTACTTCTAAAAATCAAATATAAAAGAAATTTAGTATCAATACCCATCAGGTATAATACCTGGCATAATATTTATATATTGTCCTATATAATTAATGTTAGGGTAGTTATATGATTTGTTTAGTAAAATTGAGATATTAGTGATTTTTAATGTTTTTTTCTTATACCGGGTATTATACCCATTGGATACAAGTAAATCTTTAATATGAAATATCATACCATGAATGCGTAGTTGTGTAATTGAAATAATGAATCGTTCGATTAAATATCGGTGATATATAGTCCTTCATGTATGTGCCCTCTGTTAATTCATTCGTG